GGTCAACTACATGGGAGTCCAGCGACATAGCCATTACGCTAACTGCTGGTCCCAGGTATTTTTCAGTCTTAAAATTTCCATTTTTTTCTTATATCTTCTCTTTCTTTGCAGATACTTTCTTTACTGAAAAAAATGCTATTTTCTTTTTTTGTTTCAAACATGTTTGTGATTGCTCATTAAAGTATTTTATGATGATTCTTTTGACATTTTTGTCATATAATTCTACTGTCTGTTTCTATTCAAAAATTATGTAATGTAATTTTAAGTCTTAAAATTTCCATTTTTTTCTTATATCTTCTCTTTCTTTGCAGATACTTTCTTTACTGAAAAAAATGCTATTTTCTTTTTTTGTTTCAAACATGTTTGTGATTGCTCATTAAAGTATTTTATGATGATTCTTTTGACATTTTTGTCATATAATTCTACTGTCTGTTTCTATTCAAAAATTATGTAATGTAATTTTAAATTTTCTATTCTGCTGCACAGGTGTGTTTGCCTTTTTGGTATCATTGATTTGATTAATTTTTTCCTCTTTAAATATTTATTGTAATTTATGATTTATATGTAATCATTATACATCTTTGTAGACTGATTACATTGGTTTTAAAGAATATTTAATACATGATAAGACAAGACATCTACTCTGACCCCACTTTCTACCCCCAGTTGTTTCCCTCTTTCGTAGTTTTCTGTTCCCAGGCTTTAGTCACCCATCCTTGAATCCTTTGCCAGGTCTAACATAATGTCTTTTCTATACTGGGTACTTAGAAACTGCTTGATTAATTGAATTTGTGTACCAGAGGTTTGAGTTAGATTAATTCACATCTTGGTAGAACTGCCCACATACTGGGCATGGTCTCCTTAGTTCTGTGAGTACTTAGTTTCCACTCTGTGCCCTAGTATTGGAGTAGATGATAAGGAAAAAAATTGAAAAGTCATTTTAGCATAATATTCTAGCCACAATTGCACCAACAGAGGGGTTCACTGGAAGTTTTCGAAATACAGACAACAACACTAGCCAAACGCTCTTCTCAGAGGACTAACACCTGAAGAGTAAGTAGGGGTTGACCAAGGGGAAAAAAGGCAGGAAAGGTATTTCAGACATAGGGAAAGGTATAAGCAAACCAAGGTTATGTAAAGCAGTTTATAGCTACTAGACCCTTTAGAGAAAGGACTGGGGTCAGATGAAGCTGAAAAGATAGACAGTCTGAACTTACCCCAGAGGCGAGTAGGAGTCATTTCAGTTTATTTGTTTATTTAATTTCTTTTTTTAAGTTCTTTCTATCTTGAGAGAGAGGAAACCTCCCTCCCCCCACAACAGATTCTTCACACCATGTCCTATCTAGAGCCTCAGCCAGTCTGGATTATGTACACCTGCCCTGGGTATATTGGGAAGTCTCTGGACACAAAGCCAGGACCTTCCCATGTGGGTCCAGTATTGTCAAACATTGTGTTATTGATATGCCACTGTCTGGCTTTTGTTCAATTTCTAACAAAATATTTCAGATATAGCAAAAGATATAAAGAATAACATTTGTGTACTCATGAGTCAACTAAAAATATAAAATACTACAGATATATTTGAAGCCTACAATAATACCACTCCTTAATTGCATGCCTTTTCTTCTCTCTCAGCTATTTTATTAAAGTTGTGTTTATTATTCTCATGCATTATTTTTCTTCTGTTACATAGATGTGCCTCACTAAACAATATATATTATTATTTTACATGTCTTTGAATGTTATACAAATGGAATCATGTTGAATGTGTTCTCATCTTGCTTTTTTCTCTCACATTATGATTGCAAAATTTTATATTGATGCATGTAAGTGTAGTCTATGCATTTTATTTGCATTCTAGTATTCCATTGTATGAGTATATGGCTATTTATCTAGTCTTCTGAGGGTAGACATTTCATTGAAGAGTTTGAGCAGGGGATGACATGAGCAGATACATCACTTTGGATTGAATATGGAGGATAGATTAGAGATTGATATAGAGCAGTGGTTTGTACTGTGTACTCATTTATACTCTTACAAATTATTGAGGAGAGCTTTTAGTTATGTAGTTTATATTTATTAATATATGCCATATAAAATAAAACTGAAAACTTAAAAATATTTTTTAGTTCATTGATAAATAATAAATCCATTGCATATTACCATAAATAACTTTATTTCTGGAAAAATAACTTTTTATTTTAAAGTTTGTTTATCAGTTTCTTCTGAGACAGTAAGATCTTCTGAGGGTAGACATTTCATTGAAGAGTTTGAGCAGGGGATGACATGAGCAGATACATCACTTTGGATTGAATATGGAGGATAGATTAGAGATTGATATAGAGCAGTGGTTTGTACTGTGTACTCATTTATACTCTTACAAATTATTGAGGAGAGCTTTTAGTTATGTAGTTTATATTTATTAATATATGCCATATAAAATAAAACTGAAAACTTAAAAATATTTTTTAGTTCATTGATAAATAATAAATCCATTGCATATTACCATAAATAACTTTATTTCTGGAAAAATAACTTTTTATTTTAAAGTTTGTTTATCAGTTTCTTCTGAGACAGTAAGAGAGGCACTACCAACAATGTCTTCATGCTATGATCCACCACCAGCCTTAGTGAGCCTGGATCATAGGCACATGTATGCCTGGTAGGCTCAGGGATGTCCTAGGATGTGAACTCATGTGAGCCCAGTTGTGTTACTGCTGTGCCACTCCCTGGCCCCAAAAATAACTTGTTTTCAAAACAAAAACATTTAGTTCGAAGAGTGACATTTTTGCAAGTTTCTTTCATGTTTGGGTTAGTAAAAAATGGCTGAAATCTCACATCTGTTTTTGTATTCAGTCTGTGTGATATTATGTCATGTACCCTCTGAAGAATTCCATTGTGCACTCAAGAGAATGAGGGTGAAAAGGGCCAAGAATGTCCTAATGTTATTGTGAACATAGTTTTGGCCTTTTATATTTTCTGAGAGTCTCAGGCAGCCCAAGTGTTCGCTAGACTGCACCAAGTATTCCCTGACTGAAAATAGCCAGAGTTGAGGGACCAATTTGGAGACTGTTTCTGTAACCTAGTTGAGAGCTAATGAGGAGTCTGAACCAAGGTAGGGTGGATGGATGGAGAAGGGGAGCTGAATATAAGAGGGACTTTAGAAAAATCAGAAGGTTACGGGAGGAGGTAACAGAGTCAAGGGAAAAGGGATAATAGAGTTCCAGCTGGGTATGTGCGTCACAATCAAACTGTGAAATAGATATTTAGCTCTAGGAAATGACCAAGAACCCAAGCCTATCCCACACAAAAGCTCTTTATATTTTATGTTGAGTAGAGTTAGAGTAGGTGTAGCAAGGAAGTGATGCCTTTCTTAGAGATAAGAGAGAGAATGGGCAAGACAACAAAACTTTGACATGGAAAAGGAGAGAAGTGGAAGAAGTTAATTAACTCCATAGGTTTGTCCAGTTACAATGATGTCAAACTAGACTAGGTTCAGTTTTGGGCTAGTGGAAGAGCTAAGAATGTTCTGAGTCACTGCCAGGCTAACTGATCTTAAGTGGTTGGGGTGGAACTGAACAGGCAGTGGAGTTGTCCAGAGGAAGGAAGGCCCTCTCCTAGCTGTGATTTTTACCTGTTCCACTACAGGGTGGATTCATGCTGTGTTGACCCCTGTGGACTGCCTTGCCTTTGGAGGGAACTTCTTACACAGCCTTAACATCGAAATGCAGCTCAAGTGAGTCCTGAAGCTGTGGTGATCCTGAGTTGGCCATTCCATTTCTGTCTGCTAGAGTCCTTGGGCTTCCCTTATGTGTGTAGCATAGAAAGAGATGAGATGATCAGAAAGGAATGGATCCTGGTTCCTGATGTGATGTTCAGTTTCAAGACTAATACCTTTTCCTCACTTAGTAGTTATGTGACTTTGAGCAAGTCATATAACCTTTGAGCCCAAAGTTTACTACTTTATAAAGTAGGGCTTTACAGGGTTATTGTGAGGATTAGAAATAATGCATACAAAGCATCTAGAATAATACCTGATGCGTACTAAGTGCTCAAAAAATGGATTGTTATTGTTGTTATGCCTCCTCCTTTTAGAGCCTATGAGATTGAGAAGCGGCTGAGCACAGCAGACCTCTTCAAGTTCCCCAATTTTGAGACCATCTGTTGGTATGTGGGAAAGCACATCCTGGACATCTTTCGAGGTATGGGTCCTTTTGCCAGCTGTCTCTTTTCCCTCAGTATGTGTGTATATGTGTCTAACTACTGACTCAGTCAAGAGATAGTACTGCTCCATCACCATAAAGATCCTCTCTGTATGCATATCAAGACATCATATTGTATATCTTAAGTATATGCAATAAAAAAAGAAAGTGACAGTCTCCCTAGTGCTACTGCTTAATAGTTTCACCTGTTTTTTTCTTTCCTATACCATCCATAACTTCCAAAAACCACTAATCTGTTTTCTTTCTCTTTAATTTTGTCACTTCTTGAATATTATATAGGGCCAGTTGGTGGTGTGCTGGTTAAGGCAACTAGATGCCACATGGCTGACTGTGGTTTGAGTCCTGGATCCAGTGGCATGAAAAATACACCGGGCATGTGTACATGCATGCCCAAAATCCCAAAAGGATTGAGAAATGGAGGAGAAGGGATTGTACTGTGGCCATCTCCCGTGGCGGATGCTTTCTGATTCTCCCTCTTTTTCTCTCTGACTCTCTATGGCAAGCAAACATGCCCTATGGCAAATTAAAAAAAAAAGAATATTCTATAAATGGAATCACATGATGTGTGACCTTTTAAAATTCACTCTTATGGTACCAGCAGATGGTGTAATGGTTATGTCACTGGTCTCTTACATAGTCAACCACAGATCAAATTCCAGACTCGGCAGCTTAAACTAATGTCGGGCATGTGTGCATGCATGCCCAAAATCCCAAGGGGAGAATGGAGGAGAAGAAATTGTGTTTGATCATCCCCATTGGGGGGTGATTTCTCACTTTCTGTCTGTTTATCTCTCTGGTGAGTGAGCTTGCCCTATAGCAAAAATCTCTCTCTCAAAAAAAAAAAGATTCACTTAGCATAATGTATGCAGGACAGGGATTTTAACCTTTTTATTTAGCAAAGGTGGCTGAGAAAATGGAATCACAGTGAAATTGTTTCTGTTTCCTGCCAGTGAAGATAAAAATTGTTTCAGAGTTCCCTAGATTTACTTTCTATGGGGATAAAGCCCAGTCTGACCATCCTGGTATCATGTCGTTGCTGGGTATCAGCACAGATTGAAGCCACCTTGCTGAATTTTCTCTTTCCTGGTCTGCTTTGAGCTAGAGCAAATCCCTTGCTCAGGCTTAGGACTCTTCAAGGTGACCTGGACTGGAGAAATCAGTATTTTAGAGTTACAAAGAACCTCAGAGACCAGTGAGTACAATCTTCTACCCTACCCAGTACCTCAAGCCCTCATTCTGCCAACCAGACAGACTGACACTTAAGTGTTCAATCAGATGCTGATAATTAACTGCTATTCACCTCTTTGAATAACTCAGGTCAGTAGAAGATTCTTTTCAGAGCCTAAATCTGCTTGTTTATAATAGCCTTCCCTTGAACTAAGATAGAACACAGCTAATTCATCTTCTACCTTAATGGCCCTTCATATGTGTATAGGTGGTAGTCATGGTCCTCTTGAGTATTCTCATTCTGAAACCCAAGAGGCAGTATAGTGAATGGAGGGAGGGAGCAAATTTAGATTCAAATAGACATGGTTTGGTCTTGGCCCTGGTACTTACTAGATGTGTGCCTTTGGTCAAGACTTTTTCTCTCTTTGAGTCTCAATTTCCTGAACAATAAAATGAAAATAATAATAATACCTGATTATAGGATAGGTATAAGGATTAAATGATATAATAGATGTCATATGTCTTGCACATAAATGAACATTATTGGTAGAACTGAGATCTGGAGTTTTGCTCAGAATCCTGAGCATTTTCTCTGGTTGCCTGACCAAGGTAACAGGTCCTTCATTTCCCTGCATGGCTTTGCTGACAATCTAATTTCTCCTCTTTCCTCCTTTAGGTTTGCGAGAGAACAGGAGACACCCTGCCTCCTACCTGGTCCATGGTGGCAAAGCCCTGAACTTGGCCTTTAGAGCCTGGACAAGGAAAGAAGTAATGTGCTTATTACTCTTTCTCTTCTAGGTTCTGCCCTCTACAGGGACTGGCTTTGGGTGGATTCTTGGGGAGGAGAAGAGACCAGAGAGGCTTATGGCCTTCTGGGTGTAGAAGACTGGGCTAGGATTCTTTGGATTATGTTTTCAAACCTTCCTTTCTGCTTATGAAAGGTTTACTCTAGATAATTAGAAAAAATACTGGAGTATAAAGAGGGAAAAACATCACCAATAATTGTAACACTAAGGGAACTAATGTTAACTTGTGGATATATTTCTTTCTAGTTGTTTTTTTAAGTCTTGTTTTGTTTTTAAGGTTTTTGCCATAGGACACATGTGCTTGCTGGAGAGATGAGAGATATAGTGAAAGAGAAAGTGAGAAATCACCACCCCCTGGGGGGGAGGGTGGCCATTCTGTAATCCCTTATCTTTTATTCTCCTGGGATTTGGGACACGCATGCACACATGCCCAATGTGACTTTCAAGTCACCAGGTTCAGAACGCTAACCCAGTTAGCCAGGTGAGAATCCAGTGCCTTAATTACCACACCACCCTTTCTTCTGGTCTTTTTTTAATGTGTATTTAAAAAATATAATTGCAAGGCCAGCTCTGTAGCCTGGTGGGTAAGATAACTGGTTCCCACATGCCTGGTGAGTGTTTTGTGTCCCTGCTCCACTGACTTGAAAATACACCAGTCTTGGGGACCAGCAGGTGGCATGGTGGTTAAGGTGCTGGACACTCCCACATGGCAGACCACGGTTCAAGTCCTGGACCTGGTAGCTTGCTTTCTCACTTTCTCTCTCTCTCTCTGGTCAAATTAAAATGAATGAATGAATAAATAAAATTAAATAAAATAAATCTTTAAAAAAAAAAAAGAAAGAAAGAAAATACACCAGTCATGTGTCCATGCACGCTCAAAATCCTGACCAGGATGGAGAAATGAAGAGATTATGGTGTGATGACACCTCTTCTTTCTTCCCGTCTCTGTGTCTCTGTCTCTCTGACAAGTGCATGTGTCCTCTGGCAAAAACAAACAAACAAACAAAAAACCAAAGTAAAATGAAACATAATTACCATCATACTATTAGGGATCTTTAAAAAGTTCATGGAAAAAATATGTGAAAAAACAGCATGAATTCAAAATTTCACACTGGAAAAAAAATGTGTACTTTAATTGCAATGTTTTTCATAAACTTTTCGAAATACCCTTGTATGTATCCAATTTTGTATCTGAGTCTTTTGGTTTATCTTAACTTTCCTGTGTTACCAAAGTTCTACATAAATAATAGTTACATGATATTCTTTTGAGATGATAGACTATCCTTATCACTTGCTTATTCTTACTTCTTAATTATTATTATTATATATTTTTTACCATAGGGCATAGACACTTACCAGAGAAAGCCAGAGAGAGGGAAAGTGAGAAATCACCCCACAATGGGGATGGCCATGCCTCAATTCCTTCTCCTCCATTCTCCTCTTGGGATTTTGGGCACACATGTACCTATGCCCAATGTGATTTTCAAGCTGCCAGGTCTGGAATTTAAACTGTGGTCAGCTGTGTGGGCGTCCAGCACCTTAACTACCATGCTACTTGTTGGCCCCTCTTCTTTTTTCACTTGTCTGAGCAGGCAGTTATAGAAAATCATACAGTAAATATCTGTATGAATCAGTCTTTATCCTGTATCTCTTGATTGTTTCTTCAAGGTAGATTCCTGGAAAAGCAATTATTGGATCAAAGTATATATATAAAAAAAAGTAAAGCTCTTATTGTATGCTATCAATAACTTTTTAAAAGGACTTTGCCAATATCCCTTTATTCATCTGAATACCAAATAGCTATAAAAGAGAATGAGAAAGCTTTCTATATTCTGATTTGGAAAGACCTCCAGAATTTCTCAAGTAAAGGTGCAGAACTGAGGATATAGTGTACTGCCTTTAATGTAAAGAGGGGGGGAAACTTGAATTGTACTTGCACATGCTTGTCTTTGCTTGAAGACACAGTGTAGAGGGATGCAGAAACTAATGAAAAGTGGTCCTGTAGGGGTAGGATGATGGGGTTGATGGCAGGGACCAGAGTAGGAGTGAGTTTTTTCAATATATATCTTTTTATACTGTTTGATTTTTTTTTATTTTTGGAGAGGGCACATGCACTTGCCCAAAAGATAGAGAGAGAGAGAGAGAGAGAGACAGACAGACAGACAGACAGACAGCGAGAAATCACCCCCCAGGGGGATGGCCATGCCGCAATCCCTTCTCCATTCCCCTCTCGAGATCTTGGGCACGCACGCACATACACCTGGTGTGAGTTTAAACCACCAGGTCTGGGACTCAAACCACAGTTGACTACATCGCTGGGCGTCCAGCGATGTAGCCATTACGCCATCCACTGGTCCTGTGTTTTATTTTTAAACCATAGCAATGGAATTGCCTTTTCTTTCTTCTTCTTTTTTTTTTTTTCTTTTTAGATAGATTTTTGCTAAAGGGTGCATGCGTTCACGAGAAAGACAGAGACAGACAAAAAGCAAGAACTTGCCCACCTGGGGAATGGCCACACTACAGTCCCTTCTCCTCCATTCTCTTGGACATGCACACATACACATTCCTGGTATGAGATTTAAGCTGCCGGGTCCAGGATTCAAACCATGGTTAACTACATGGGAATCCAGCGATGTTACCATTATGCCATCTCCTGGTCCATAGAATTACCTTTTCAAATGTTGAATGCTTTTGAAATTTTGCCAGAAGGTGCATGGTCTTCCTGGAGAGAGACAGGTTGGGAATGGGGAGCAAGAGAGCACATCCCCTCATGAAGAATGATCTTACCGCAGTCTCTTCTTTATTTCTCCCTCTTTTGGGGATTTTGGGCACACATGCATATGTGCCCACTGTGTTTTTCAGGCTGCTGGGTCCAGAACTTAAACTGTGCAGTCAACCTGTGGTATCTAGCTGTCTTAACCAACAGACCACCAGCTGGCCCTTTACATCTCTTACTACTGTCCCTTATTGGATATATTGCTTGCAGATATTTTCTTTTAGTTTGTGACTTATCTTTAACGAACAGAGATGGTGGCGAAGCAGAGGTCTTTTTTAAAAGGAAGTTTATATTTTCAATTAAGTTTAGTTTATCAGTTTTTTTGGTTTATATTTTTGCATCCTCTCTGAGAAATCTGCCTAATTGAAGGTCACAAAGATTTTCTTCTCTGTTCTAAAAAGTGTTTGTAGCCTTAACTGTTACATTTAGGTCTGCAATTCATTTTGAGTTTTTTTTTTTTTTCTTTTAAGAGAGATTTTTGCCATAGGGCATCTGCACTCGCAGGAAAGAAAGAGAGAGAAAGTGAGAAATCACCCCCCACGGGGGATGGCTACACTCCAGTCCCTTCTCTTCTAGGTATTTTGGGCATGCATGCACACACACCCAGCATGAATTTCAAGCCACTGGGTCCAGGGCTCAAACTGTAGTTGGCCATGTGTGAGTCCAGCACCTTAACCACCATGCCATCTACTGGCCCCATTTTGAGTTTTTTTATGTGTGTGCGTGTGCATGTATGTGGTGCAAAATAAGGTTGGAGGTTCTTTTTTGTTTTTCATATGGGTATCCAATTGGTCTAGTCCTACTTCTTTAAAAGATTACCCTTTCTCCATTGAATTGTCTTGGCATGAAAATCAGTTGTCCTTTTATATGTGGGTCTATTCTTCATGCCTCTCATTTAACAGGCTCTGCCAGACCATGAGGATGAGATCCCGGAGACAGTGCGGACCGTACAACTCATTAAAGATCTTGCTAGGGAGATCCGCCTGGTGGAAGTAAGGAGCATGGGGAAGGGAAGGCATTTGGGAAGGACTTGAGGCTCAAGTGACAGATCAGACTGCTTTGCGTGGCATGAAAGTCCAGGGGAAGAGTTGGAAAGACCCCACCAAGGACTCTATTTATTTATTCAGTCATTCATGCAAATAATTACTATGTACTTCAAGTGTGCCATGTATTGGGCTACTCTCTTAGGATACATAACACATGTCTGACCACAAAGAACTCTGTCTAGTAGAGGACCCCAAGCAAAATTAACTTCTCTGAACCTCAGTTTCTTCATCTGTAAAATGAGGATAATTGAACCTACTTAAAAATTATTAAAATGATTAAATACGATAATGGTTGAACACTAAGTGTAGTCCTTGGCGCACAGTAGGTGCTTGATAAATTCTGATGGTGGGTCATGGAGATGGTGGTAGTTATTAATATTTAAACTCAGCACATTCTGCAAAATGATAGTTCTCTCAGGTTTAAGATGATTACAAAGCCATGTTTCAACAGGTGGCATATACCCCAAGGCAGTAAAGTAGTAAAAGACTTAGAGAAACTTGGGTTCTGGCTCCTGCTGTGTCCCTTACCCCAAGGCAGTAAAGTAGTAAAAGACTTAGAGAAACTTGGGTTCTGGCTCCTGCTATGTCCCTTGCAAGCCTTTCAGATCCTGAGATTTCTCCATCTGTCAATTGGAACGTACCTTTCAGTTTTGTTAGTATTAAAAGTTAATATATGTAGAGCCCCTCACATAGTGCCTGGCAGAGTAAGTACTCAATAAATGTAAGTCATTGTTATTAATAGATTTTGCCACAAAGAGAGAACTTGGTGTGGGCTGGTGAAGTAGCAGAGGCACCAGAGTATTGGACTTGAGGACATTTGAACTTTCCTTTAACTCAAAAGCTATAAGGTTACTTTAAGTTCCCAGGATTATACATTCATCTTGAAGCATGGTCAGAGTGAGCTTCTGGGAAATTGAGCTTCTAGCCTCACTGCAGCATTAAGTTTAACTGCCTACACCATAGCTCGAAGTGTCCACCTCCTACCTTATTTTTCTCCACTCCCATCTGTCAAAATCTTTGTGGATTTAAAAAGCCTACCTTCAGGACCAGCAGGTAGGATAGTGTTTAAGGTGTTGGACTCCCACATGGCTGACCGTGGTTCAGATCTCAGACCTGGCAGCTTGAAAATCACGCCGGACGCATATGTGTGCATGCCCAAAATCTTGAGAGGAGGATGGAGAAGAGATTGCTGCGTGGCCACCCCCCAGGGGGGTGATTTCTTACTTTCTCTCTGGCGAGCACATGCACCTTATAACAAAAGTCTCAAAATTTTTTAAAAAAACCTAAAACCTACATTTCTCCAACTCTACCCATTTAGGCCAATCTTAGGCTGGTTGGAAGAGGACTTAGGTTATACCTAGTCTGTTGGCTTTCAAATGTTTTAAAGTAATAGAATCCTTTTCTTTTTTTTTTTTTCCAAATGAGATCTTATATGGAAGCTCACTGTTTGTGACAAATGAAAGCATAGCTGCTTTGAGTAGGATGAAAGAGGCCTAAGGCTCTACTTGTTCCTCTCATCTACCTTCCACCTACTTTCTGTCTCCAGCATTTCTTCTAAGAAGCTCAAAGAAGCCACAGAATATCTTTGAAAATCACCTTTGCAGTCTAATCCTTTGATTTTATAGCTATGCAAACAGAGTCCTGGAGAACTCAGATAACTTTCCTGAGGTCCCAAAGCTAGCTAACAGGAGAATTAGGACTCTAGCCTTTCTGCATCTCTCAAATCTTACAGCCCTGAGAGTTTGAACCACACAATTAGTACTTGATTATTTTCTTCCTCATGTCAGCTACTCTTGGAGTCTTTTCTCTCCAATTTTAACAGTATTGCTGGGCTTTTCCTCTGCTCGTCTTCTCTTTATTCATCAGTGTTTGGGTAAAGAAATGCCACCCAGTAAGTTATCAATGACTTATGCATAAACTAGGGTGTGCATATGTGGAACATTTGTAAGCCACTTTTATGGCAATACCACCAATACCAGGAACAGAGCTCTGCTCTTATGTAGAGAGAACCCTTGAGTAAGCTCTAACCCCCTCATGTACTAACGCTCTTATAGGACATCTTCCAACAGAACGTTGGGAAGACGAGCAATATCTTTGGGCTGCAGAGGATCTTCCCAGCTGGCTCCATTCCCTTAACCAGGCCAGCCCATTCCACTTCAGTATCCATGTCCATGCTGTCATTATCCTCCAAAAGTGGTTCAAAGAAGAAAGGCCTGAAGCCCAAGGAACTCTTCAAGAAGGCAGAGCAAAAGGGCAAGGAGAGTTCAGCCTTGGGGCCTGCTGGCCAGTTGAGCTATAATCTCATGGATACATACAATCATCAGGCACTGAAGACAGGCCCTTCCCAGAAAGCAAAGGTGGGTGCTGGCCCATGGGTTCAGCCTAAGCCTTATGGGTCCCTTGGAAGAGCAAGGTTTCAAAAGGACAGATTATCCTGTTTTTCTCCCACTTCCCTTAGGGCTACTGGTGTTAGACTACCAGTCCCACTCATTTACTAAGCATTTATTGAGACCTTTTCTATGCTGGGCACTGTGATAGGTGCTGTGGTTGTAATTCAAGAAGCTAACAGGCTAGTGAGAAAGATAGACATGAAAACAAATGAGTGCAACAAAGTGTTGTGGTTGCCACAGGTCAAGAGTGTGTATGAGATCCTGAGACACAGAGGAGGGTTGCTTCTATTGGGTCATCAGAAAAGTCATGCATTTTTTGTTTTTCTGTGCAAAAATGTGTCATGACTTCTGACTACCCAATATCTGGGTAGGAAAGCTGCTCAGGAACTCTTCAGAACCCATGACACTTGAGCTGAATCTTGGAATACTGGAATGGGAAAGAGATTTGAGAACATTGTATATCAGTGTCATGTTGGAATCTTGAACAGGTCCTTGAGAAAAGTTCTCCCCCAGTTCTCTTCCTTGCTTCAAGATTGTGGTTTCCCCCATGGTTATCTGAAGATGTCCCTCCTTTCTTAGGGAACATGTTTCAGAAGTTTGATGGGTGTCCCCTTAACTGACCACACTTTCTCAATCTCCTGTTCCTGTGATCAGTGGGAGTAAGGTTGGAGTTGGGGGGCAGAGTATAGTAGGAGGCCTTGGTACAGGTGGTTTCACAGTGAGCTCTACCAGTGAAACCAGAGGGAACTGGATATCCAGATTTTCACGTGAGAGTCCCAGAGAGGTGACAACTGAGCCTCCTCCTCCTGCAGTTCAACATCACTGGCACCTGCTTGAATGACTCAGATGATGATTCACCAGATGTGGACCTTGATGGGAATGAGAGCCCGCTGGCCCTGTTGATGCCTAATGGCAGGTGAGGTGGGAAGAAGCAGCAAAAATAATGGGACTCTTGGTGACAATATGTCAGTAAGACAGGGCATGGAATTGGGATCTTGGGGTTGGGGCATGGACTGGGTAAGGACTGTAGTTAGGGTGATCAAATAATACTGCCTAGTTTAGGAAACCATTGTAGTATTGGGGGTGGGTAGTGAAAAGGAGTGGAATCTACTTAATAATCCTGGGAAAGATCTTGTGTAAGGTCTAGACATTTCAGCAAGTCAATGGGTCAGGATCACTGGCAGAAGTAAGAGGTAATATAGAATACTGTTTAAAAGCATTAGTGAGATCTATCTATCTATCTATCTATCTATCTATCTACACCTTTTGACTTGTGATTTGAATTTAAGGATTTAGTTTACACCAATACTTGCACAAATGTGTAAAGAGAAATGTTCAGAGTTCATCACATCGTTTATTATAGTAATTGGAAACATCCATTTGTTCATCAATAAGGGTTGGATAAATGAATTATAGTATATCTATAGAATGGAATATTATGTATTAATAGTTGTTAAAAAGAATGTGACAAATATTGTTAACACAGATATCTAAGATAAAAATCATGTTATAAAGTTATATAGTAGTATTTTTATTTTTTTTTAAAAAGGAAAAGGAATGTGTACATACTTTGTTTTTGCATATGTAAATAAGCAATATAAAGAATTTTCACTTGATTTTTAATTTGTTTGAAGAAATTTTAAAATTCAATAAGTGTGGGGCCAGCAGATAGTATTGTGGTTAAGGTGCCAGACTCCCACATGGTTGACTGCAGCTTGAGTCCCAGAACTGGTGGCTTGAAAATCACGCACACCAGGTGTGTGTGCATGTGTACATGCCCCAAATCCTGAGAGGAGATTGGAGGGGAAGAGATTGCGGCATGGCCATCTACCCAGAGGGTGATTTCTCACTTTCTCTTTCTCTGTCTCTCTCCAGTGAGCATATTCACCCTATGGCAAAAACCTAAAAACAAACAAAAATTTCAAAAAGTGTGAAAGAACACACCATGAAAAATCTTGATCTCTCTCTTCTCTTCTTCCCCTCCCCATGGAACACCGTATCAGTGTTTCCTTCCAGAGATATTCAGTAGCATTTGAGTTTTGTACTGTAAGCAAACATTAATTTTCTTAAACTAATTTTCAAAAAAACATTTTCCAAAAGAAGAAAAAAAAAAACTGTTCACAACAGAAATCATGGGCTTAGGAATCATATAATCCTGAGTTTAAATTCTAGTTCTGGCACATATTCACTGTGTGACCTTGGCAAATTATTTAACCTGTGTAAGCCACAGTAAATTCATTATATGTATTCTCTAGGTAAAACTTACCTTAGAGTTGCTGGAGGATTAAATGAGATAGTGTATGTAAAGTGCTTATCACAGGGCCTGGTATAACATACATGTTAGTAAATAGTAGTTGTTATAATTACGGTGATGAAGATGGAGATAGAAGGTGGTGGTGATGGTTACGTGGGTATGGCCAGTAGGTAAGTAGATCATCAGAAACCTTGAAATATCTAGGGAGGCAGGGAAGGCAGTAAGGGTTATCATCTATATACTCAGAATAGTAGACATGGCCCAGCCTCTGTGGTGCAGTTGGTAGTGTGCCTGACTGCAGTGCTGGAAGCCACATGATGACCGTGGTTCAAATACCTGGTCTGGTTGGCCTGAAGTATGCTGGGTGCATGTGCAAGTGAGTGTCCAAGATCTGAGAAGACGGAAGCTCGGAGGAAGAAGATCAAAGGTGTGGCCAGACATTGTGTAGGCTGTGTCTGTCTGTTTGTCTTGTGCACACGCACACACTTTTAACACAAATGAAATAAATAAATAAATAAATAAATAAATAAAATGTTTGCAAAAACTAAAAAAAGAACACTAGACAGCAGCAGTCAAGAGTGAAGTACAGAGTGTAAACAATGTAGGAACATGCAACAAGGATAACATCAATAGCCTCTTTGTGGGAAAACATTATATTTAGATCCCAAAAGAGTGTAGTAGGTCCACATGACTGGAAAAGATAGTGAGAATAGGGCAAATTATTGAAACCAGCAGAGCTATACTTGGAGTTCAAGAGCAAGGTTACTAAAGAGTAAGATTAGAAAGACTGCTGCTGAGCATTGCCTTGGTCCAGAACTCATGGTGGGTCTCCTGGAGAGGAAAAAATGAAGTATTCAGAATATAGCCTATAATGGCAAGTGAGGATCCTAGATATTTTCCCCTCCCCACCTGTCTTTCTTAAGCTGCTTCTATTACATGCTGTAGCTGCCAGAAGCTGCTCTTAAGCGAACCTAGAGAATCAGGGTATAGAAATACTTACAAATGATACAATATTATGTCTGGGATTTTCTCCAAATTCAGTGTTTTTCAGGGAATGAAGTGTAGATGAAACAAGTTAACTGTGTGTTGATAATCATTGAAACTTAGAACTGAGTGATAGGTACATGATATTCATTATACTCTTATATTTTTATATAAGTTTGAAATTTTTTGTAATTAGAAGTTAATAAATGATCAGGGTGTAAATAGCTATCATTTATTGAGCATCTTCTCTATGTCAAGCTCTAACTTAGCTGTTTATATACATTATTTATTTGGTCTTCACAATGACCCTAATGTAAGTACTGTTATCCCCATTTTGCTATGTGAAAACCGAGACCCAGAGAACTTAATTATATTATATACCACTGGGCGTTTGCCATGTGTCAGGCCCCACATTAGCTTATTCAGTATTTTTAACAGCTCTATGAGATAGGAAACAGATCAATTTCATGACAACCAGTTCACTGGAAGGAAATTCAGTAAAATAACTATTTGCCGATTGTATCAATAAACTGATTTACCAAAAACCTTGTTTCTTTTTTATTATTTATGCGGTTTATTCTAGCAGTTTCTACTAATAATATTATTTATTTTGTGTAACAGGATTGTCTATACCACTTCTGAGCTTTTTCCATTTTCTTCATTTATATATATATCTATATATATAGATATATATATAAATGAAGAAAATGGAAAAAGCTCAGAAGTGGTATAGACAATGTGGTTAACTACATGAAAGTCCAGCAACATAGCCATTATGCCAACTGCTGATCCCAATTTTTGAAGTTTATTTATTTATTTTATGAGTGAGAGAGAGAGAGACAGGAACAGAGATAGGTAGGTACCCTTGACAAGTTCTCACCACAGTGCAATCCTCCCTGCAGCCTTCCAGCCAATCAGGATTTTGGGCATGCTCTCTCTGTTTAGGTGTATTCGGGACTCAAATATGGTACCTCCGCATATGGCTCTAGTATTTCATATCAGCACCCTACCACATACGCCACTGCAGCCAGGCCTCTCTTATGCATTTTTAACAGCTTTCTTGAGGTATAACTTATATAACATAAAATTAACCCATTTTAAGTGCAAATAGATTTCAGTGAATTTACAGAATTGTGCAACCATGACAACAATAAAGTTTTAGAACATTTCTGTCACCGCAAAAAGACCCATTTTGTCCATTGGTAGTTGGCCCTCGTGATCCTCCTCATGCCCAAGCAACCACAAATCTACTTTCTGTCTTTATAGATTTGCTTTTCCTGAACATTTCATATGGATGTAAGCATTCAGTTTGTATTTTTTTGTGTGTCTCTTTTCTTTCTTTCTTTTTTTTTTTTTTAAAGGTTTTTGCCATGGAGTGCATGTGCTCATTGGAGAGAGACTGAGATG